CTCCAGTTCTTTTTAATATTGTTGCCGATATGTTGGATGTCCTTATTGTAAGAGCAAAGAAAGATGGCCAGGTAGGAGGTCTTATACCTCATCTAGTTGATGGAGGGGTATCGATTCTCCAATACGTTGATGATATTTTTTTCTTGAGCATGACCTTGACAAAGTTGTTAATATGAAGCTTATTTTGTCTATATTTGAACAACGGTCGACACTTAAGATTAACTTTCATGAAAGTGAAATATATTGCTTTGGCGAAGCTATTGAGATGTAAAATGAGTATTGGCACATTTTTGGTTGTGAGGCGGTTACTTTGACATTTAAATATTTGGTAATTCCTATTCATTATAGAAAGTTGCTAAATAAAGAATGGAAACCAATTGAGGACCCTTTCGAGAAATACCTGCTTCATGGGTGGGAAGAGATGCTCCCATACGGGGATCATCTTGTCTTGATAAATTTTGTTCTCACTAATCTACCCATGTTCATTCTCTCCTTTTTTGAAATACTAGTTGGGGTTTGAAAAAAACTTGATTACTTTCGCGGTCAGGTTTCCTAGCAAAGTGATCAACATAAGAGAAAGAATGGCTTAACAAAGTGGAATATCGTCTGCCGTCCTAAAGACCAAGGGGGCTGGGGTATTGAGTTACTTGAAATTAAAAATAGATGTTTGTTAAGTAAATGGCTATTCAAACTATTACATGAGGCAGGCATTTGGCAGGAACTCTTATGCAATAAATACTTTTGTGGTAAAACATTGGCTCAAGTTACTCCAAAACCATCCGACTCTCCATTTTGGAGAGGATTACTTGCGGTTCAGAAGGACTTCTTCTCATGTAATTCCTTTTGTTGTGGGGAATGGTTAGGCCCCCACTTTTGGCACGACATTTGGCTTGGGGATAGGCCATTATCGGTTCAATACCCCTCTCTCTTTAGCATTGCGTTGAACCCCTCTCTCTTTAGCATTGCGTGTAATAAGCATGTCTTAGTGGCTGGCGTTTTAACTAATGCTCCACTGATAAACATTGAGTTTGTCTAAAAGGTCTTTAACATGCGGTAAAATGGACCGCCTGGCTGAATTTAGTGGAAAGACTTAGGGATGTATCTTTATCTATTGATGATGATACGTTCAGGTGGCAGTTGACTCCATCTGGAGCAATTTCAGTTAAGTCTATGTGTATTGATTATATGAATGAGCATACACCTTTGCTACTAAAGTATTTGTGAAAACTAAAAGTTTCGTTAAAGATTAAAATCTTCGTGTGTTTTGTCAATCGGAAAGTTATTCTCATAAAAGATAATCTAGCCAGGAGACGCTGGAACGGCTGTATAAGATGTGCCTTTTGTATGAAACTTTAGAGCATTTGTTTATCTCTTGTTCCTTTGTTCGTAACATTTGGCGGCTTGTGTATTTTTTTAATACTCCACCTCCTACCACTATTGCTCATATGTTTGGAACATGACTTTTCGGGGAAAACAAGAAAACTAAAGTGCATATTTGCATTGACGTGTCTCCATTTTTTTGGGCTATATAGAATTGCCGAAATAATGTGGTGTTCAACAAAGTTTGGATGCTCATTTTTTACAGATTGTTCACAGTGGCGGAGCCAGAAAAAAATCGATCGAGGGGGCCAAGTGACGGTGAATCAGATTGGGGAGGGCCAAACCATTGGAAGGGAGGCATTTAGCAGCAACTAATGACTAATTTTACACTGTTCATAAGCAAATTATCAACAAATCTTGGATGTTAGGGGGCCCTGGGCCCCTGCTGGCACCCCCTGTCTCCGCCACTGGTTGTTCATCATGCTACGTACTGGATCATCATGTGGTCCTTTCTCCTACAACCCGGCCAGCGGGTTCTTATGAATTCCGGATATACTCGGCTGATGAGGGTTTGATCGTTCGGCCTATATTTAACCGGGGTGACTGACAACATGCTAGAAGATTACACTATGTTTAGCCTTGTCATTCTAGCATTTTTCCGGTGACCGATGCATGTAGCCACTTTAGCCATTGTAATTTCGATTTACTTTTCATACTATTATATACCTTTAAATAATACTCCCTCCATTCCAAAATAGATGACTCAACTTTGTACTAAATTTAGTACAAAGTTGGGTCATTTAAATAATATATAATAAAAAGTTGTGTATATCGCTTTGATGTAAAAGCCGGGACGCGCGGTTGGGGGCGGTGGACAGAAGGGAGAGACGAGAGATGGGTCGGGTGACGGAGAGCGTTTTCCGATCCGGAAGTGGGCAGTGGTTCACCTCTCCTCACGGGCTGGCCTAGGCTCACCCCCCCACGATCGATCTCCCCTATTTCACCGCCAACCGCACGAACCCCATCCCTCCTCGCCTCTTCCTTTCTTCCTCTCTGTGGCGGCGGTGGAGCAGCGGGTCGGCGCTCTCACCAAGCAGCGGTGGATACCGGCGGTTCGCGCGGCGCGGCGGCGGGGACCAGCGGCAGATCGGCCGTGCGGCGCCAGGCCCTCGGGCTCCGTCAAGGTATGAATCCGCCCGCCTCAACTCCTCCCTCGCGTACCGCGAATCTCGACCCGATCTTGGCCAGCAGCAGATTGAGATTTGGGTGGATTCCGATCTTGAGAGGAGATGATTCGAAATAGGATGATCTTTCATTACTTGGTATACATATGGTTCTGTTGCGATCTGTTTGATTTTGTTGCTGTCTGTTCTTGCCCAATATGTGTTCGGTGGTTAGCAATATGTTGGTCGCTGCTATATTTTCATGATTTGATAGATAGAATGCGTGCGTTGTTCATGGTCAAGAGCATGAGTAATAAAGGGAAAAGGAGGATTAGAGCATCTCCACCGGCACCCCCCACAAATGAACCCCCAATGGGGGTCCGGACTGAAAAAACGGCACCCCCAAGTGTCCGGGCCGAGCCAAAATATGTCCGGCACCCCCCTAGCCACCCTACAAACTTGCTCGGTGTGCCGGACATTGCCCTCCGACAGGCGGGCCCTCCTCGTCATAGACACGCAGCACCCGCATCCGTGGTTTATGACGCCATGCACGAGGCCGCTTCGCTTCCCAAAACGGCGGAGCATATCTGCCGCCGGAGCTGGATGACACGGGAGGAGCGGCGCCTCCTCGAGAACGACAACCACCACAGTTCGCACGCCAGCGGGCGGCGGTCCTCGCCACCGCCGACGGCCCATTCATGTCATGCCACAACTCCGTCAGGTGGCACCACTGGTGGGAGGCGACTGGCCACACGGTGGCCAGCGCAATCGAAGCCGCCCACCGCCATGCCGCCTCGGAGCGTGGCCCCACTCCGACTGCTACCACCGATGCAGCGAGCCAGCACCTGCTGCCTGGTGAAGGAGGAGCGACGATCACCACCGCATGGACACCGCGGCATTCTCATCGGCCCGGTGAAGGAGGAGTGGCGATCCCCACCGCGCGGCTGCCTCAACCTCGTTTGACGCCGCCTGGAACCGGAGTCGCAGGAGGCCCTGCAGCTGGGCTATGGCGTGTCGTCGCAGCTGCGGGACGACTCCCCTGGCTTGTTGGCGGCCCTAGCGGACTCGGTCCTCGAGATCAAACTGGATACGCCTGGCTACATGGCGACCATGGCGAACTCGATGCATATGGCCACCTCCTCGTCCGGTGGCGCCTCCACTTTTCGTGCGCATCGCGACGGCGCCTCCACCTCTCATGCAGCCTCCTCCATCCTGGTTGTCCTCGGCGAACTTGTCCTTGTCGACGCTGGAGGCGCTGCCGTTGTCATCGTCCCCCATCGCCGTAGTCGTCGTCGACGGCAACGGCAGCGCCTCCAACATTGACTGGGACAAGCTCGCTGAGGAGTAGGCTAGGGTTAGGGTTTAAGGCCGCCTGGTTTGAATTTCATTCAAAAAAATTGAAAATATGTACAAAATTTGAATGAAATTGCAATTTTTTTGCTATAATATGTGTTCTAGTTTTTTAAGTTGATTTGGTTTGTGGGGGGCGCCGCTGGGGCCACCACCCCCTATTAAGGTTCTCATTACTGCCGCAAAACTCGCAATGCTTTATTTCCATCATTTCTTTGCTAAGTTGTCTTTAGTCAAAACGCCGTTCTTTTTTTCGAAAGAGTAAAAAACATGTTTTTAACCATTAATAATCATTTCAAAAAACAGATGGATATGCCATTGGATGGGCCGGAGATGCTGAGATATGTTATCTTGTGGTAGCCATCGATGTGTCGATAGAAGGGAACGGTTGCAGCCAAGGCGCGGGGGCCTCACCACCAATGAAATTCGGGAGGAAGAAACGCGCTCGTCCATCTCTCCCGAAACAACCGCTCGCCACCCGTCTCTCCTCCCACACTCCACTCCCCTTCCTCTTCCCCTGGCGAGGGCATCGTCGATCGAACACAATCTACGCCAAACGTGCCTCTGGATCTCGCATGCCACCTCGAAGGGGATCCTCCCATAACTGCCGTCCTCCTCCACCGTTCGCCTAGACCGGCGTGGAGTGGGGATCGATCCGGGCTTGGTTTGCTTTCTATCGTTGCTGACGAACCCTAACCTGCTTGGATAGTTCTTAAAATTCTGGTAGGGTGTGTTTCGTCCAGATTCTAGAGCCAGTGATGCTAATTACCTGGCCCGTAGCAGCCTAGCAGTATCAAAACACAACTGAATCACACTTCTATTGAAACTGATTGTATGAGGTTTTGATAGTAAATGTTCTATTAAAACTGGACAATGTGTTTCTATTTCACATTGAGTGCGTGCATGATCTGAGTTGGGTGTGATAGTTTATTTTCTGGAATCTGGAGACAGTTCATAGCATGCAGCAAACCAGCAGTGGAAACATTAGGATGAGTATATAAGAACTACTCTTTTACTTGCTCCTTTGACTGCGTGTGAAAGTCTGGGTTCATAGTTAATGATGTCAATGGCACGAATAGAACTTTTCTTGATGTTTTATGCACCCAAGATCTTCCCTTCGAGTCTTAATTCCTCACAGAAGGACAACCATCTTTGCAGGTTGCTAAAATGGATAAGCTCAAGGGCTCTGCGCGTCTTATGATTGTTTCAGATCTCGATCACACAATGGTGTTTGTCTAAACTCGCAGCTTGGATTTTGTCCAGAGATAATTGTAACTTTTTTGTATGACCAACTAATTTGAAGTTTCTTGGGTTTCAAACTTTCAGGTTGATCATCATGACGAAGAGAACCTGTCTTTGCTTAGGTTTGGGGCCCTTTGGGAGTCTGTTTACTGTCAGGATTCTCTTCTTGTCTTTTCAACAGGAAGATCACCTACTCTGTATAAGGAATTGAGGAAAGAGAAGCCTATGCTAACTCCAGATATCACTATTTTGTCTGTGGGCTCTGAGATAACTTATGGTGAAGCCATGGTCCCTGATCATGGCTGGGAGGAATATCTGAACAATAAGTGGGACAGGAATATTGTTCTTGAGGAGACAGCTAAGTTTTCTGAGCTGAAGCTTCAGGCATGTTCGATTGCTAAACAGCTACTTCCCCTAATTAATAATCATTTTGATCTCTATACAAATAACACTTTATTGTCATTCACTTGCATGAATGCAGGTAGAGACAGAACAGCGTCCACATAAGGTCAGCTTTTTGGTTGACAAGAAGAACGCTCAGGGAGTGATCAAGTCTCTCTCCGAGAAGTTTGAGAAACGTGGGGTGAGGCAGCATGCTTACTTTTTTTAAGAGGCAGCATGTTTACTGATGTTGTTAGGTGTTAGTTTTTCGCAATATATTCTTTAAGAAACATGGTTTTTTGGAATTTGTGTGGTTAACTACTATATTTACTGTAAACAGGTAGATGCGAAAATAATCTACAGTGGTGGCCAGGATCTTGACATATTAGCTCAAGGGGCTGGAAAGGGTCAAGCACTTGCATATTTGCTCAAGAAGTTAGGTTCATGCGGAAAAACACCCAACAATACTCTTGCTTGTGGTGACTCTGGTAATGATGCAGAATTATTCAGTATCCCTGGTGTACATGGTGTCATGGTCAGTGTACAATAACTTGCATGATGTGTCTATAAAAGTTCAGGCGTGAATGAATGTGAGTTTACTGCAACTCTATGTTCTAAAATGTTAGGTTAGCAATGCCCAAGAGGAACTACTCCAGTGGCATGCAGAAAATGCGAAGGATAATCCTAAGATAATTCATGCAACTGAGAGGTGTGCTGCTGGTATTATTCAAGCTATTGGGCACTTCAAGCTAGGACCTAATGTTTCTCCAAGAGACGTTGAGTTTCCTTACATCAAGGAGGACCCTTTCAAGCCTACAGCGGCCATTGTGAAGTTCTATGTTCTGTATGAAAAGTGGCGTAGAGCTGATGTTCCAAAGGCTGATTCTGTTATAGAGTACTTCAAAAACACCACAGTATGTATATGGTTTTCCACTTCCATATACATTTAAATAGTTTGGTTAGCTTTTGTCTAAATTTCTCCCTCTCCCATCTCAGTTTCTCAAGCTTTCTAATTCTGAGAAAATGCCATATTTTCCTTAATATTTTCTCAAACTTAAAGATTATTTATTTATTGTGGGTGTTAGGATGCAAATGGAGTTATTATTCATCCGTCTGGGGTCGAACTTTCGATCCATTCGTCCATTGATGAGCTGGCTTCATGTTATGGTGACAAACAAGGGAAAAAGTACCGATCATGGATGGACAGACTTGTTATCTTGCAGACTGCTCCTGACAGTTGGCTTGTGAGATTCGACTTGTGGGAGGCAGAAGGTGAGTTGTTATGATTCTGCAAAGTATTATACAGTTACTGCCCTGAGCAACTCAAACTTTAACAAAAAATGCTATTTAATACGTTTTGTTCAGATTGCAATCTTTTTACCCAGTTTGTATGTGCTCAATCAGAATTCTTGTTTTATTTATAGATAGTGTCATTTATGGTTTACCTTTATTCGACATGGAGGCCAAGTAATAATTTTAGGACTATGGTAGTAGGTTTTTATATTACTTTGCGCACATATCCTTTTTTTTTCCTGTTGCGAAACAATGACCGCATCATTCAGTTACAGAAAAGTACAATGCTAAATTTACAGTGTGGACTGTTGTATAACTCTATTCTGGCCAGATATTATGGACTTACTGGTTATGGTATGAAGTGATCTAGATAGTAGAAGTTGACTGAAACATAATCCCTTTACTACATATGTAAACATCAATGACCACTTGATGATAATGGCCATAGATTCAAAGTCCTTTGCAAAAGGACAACCCGTGGATTGGGGGTCATTCGTTGTTGAGCAATCAATAGTTATATCCCGAGTCAGTTGGGGATGTCGAAAATCAATCTTGGTCTATGATTAATGGAAAATTGTGCTTCAAGCTAGTTAAAATGATCTGGCTACCTGATTTGACATGTTCCCTTCCTAACAAAGAGGTATGGGGACTTTAGCATGTGTTTGCCGGTTGATTCTATCTGATGGACATGATGATTATCTGATTTCTACCTAATGGAGGGCATAGCGCATAACCTGTGGGACAGTGTGACGTGGATTTCAAAGTTTTTTCGTCCTGTCAATTATTATATAAGCACGCTCGCGTTATCTTCATATAAATCTTATTTTAGCGAATCATCCTCACCTCAATGTTTAATGCGCCGCTATGCTATTTTCAGGTAATGCGTGGGCGTGCTGTTTTACAACCCTTGCACTGAATGTAAAGGTATATATATATATATATCACTTGTGTTGAGCCAAAACCTGACCTGACCCACTCGTATTTTGGAAATTTTAACACGGGTTGTTTTCGTGATGTCACTCAGCCTGAAACCCCTGGGGGTTTTGTGGTAACACACATCCACAAGACATGGCGTAAAGAATATCCCGGGGTTGAGCAGTCATCCAAACTCTAGACTGGACCGCCACCGCCGGCGCACGGGAAGGAGTTTTTCTTCTTCTTGAGGATCAAATAAGAAATCGTAGCGAAAGCATGAGAATTTCTTTTACTTGTTCATAATGTTAATAATAAGTGCTCCCAGACACATATACTGGGCTGAATGATGTCTACGGAGGTCTCTTGATGCCTTTGGCTAATGCTTACTGTCATGAGAGGCTAAACTGAAGTAAATGACCCCAGTACCAGTATATACTAGTTCGATGTGCTACTCGTCATTATTCAGTGTTCTTCCATATACATTCATTTTTATCCATTTCTGCGACAACTGGACGACATGAACGACGGGAGCTTGGCTTCGGCAGACTTGGGGAAAATCCTATTTGCCGCTCGCTGCGGCAAACTGTCGAGTGATCGCACAGGGGCAGCGCAGCGAGCGAGAAATGGGCCGGCCCACACATAATGCGTCCAAACCGGTTTTGGGAACCTTCCAGAAGGTTCCCTGAACCGGGTTTTTTTTCCTGTATCATTTTTTCAGGTTCTTTTTCGGCTTTCTATTGTTTTTTTATTTCTCTTTTTTTCGTTTCTGTTTCTTTTTCATTTTTTCGTTTTTTGTTTCTTGTTTCATTTTCTTTTTCAAGTTTATTTTTCTTTTTAAGAATATGCTCGTAGTTTTACAAATGTTTATGATTTTCTTTTTTATTTCCTTTTTTTTCTTCTTGTCCTTTAAAATCAAAAAACTAAATATTGTTCGTGTTTCCAAGAAATGTTCTCAAAATTCAAAATTTGTTCTTGTTACACAAAAAAGTACAAAAGTTCTGAAATTCAGAAAATGTACTGAATTTCAATTTTTTTTTTCACATATTCAAAAAATGTTAGCTCTTCCAAATTTTTTCAGGATTTTTCAAAATTCTCTCCGTTTCAAAATATGTTTTCAAGATTCAGAAAATGTTTGTGCTTTAAAAAATTGTTCAGACTTCCAAATTTGTTCGGATTTTTTCAAAATTTCTCTCCGTTTCGAAATATGTTCTCAAGATTCAAAAATGTTCATGCTTTAAAAAATTGTTCGCGCTTCCAAATTTGTTCAGGATTTTTTAAAATTGTTCACCATTTCAAAATTTGTTCTCAAGATTCAAAAAATGTTTGGGAATTGAAAAAAATATTCCAGCTTTCCAAATTTGTTCACAAATTCAATAATAGTTCATGTTTTTCAAAAAAAATCACAAATTCAGAAAATGTTCTGGAAGTTTTAAAAATATAAACATTTTTGTTTTTTGTTCACAAATTCAAGAAATGTTCCCCTTTCTCAAATTTGTTCACATCATCAAAATGTTCCTGTTTTACAAAATTTGTACGAAAATTCGGAAAATGTTTTTGTTTTGAAGAAAATATTCATAATTTTGAAAAATTCAGTTGTAGGAGGTTGTCGGTTCGACCCAATAAATTATCTGTAGTCTTTAACTGTCGCGCTGCTAGTTGACGTGAGAATGTCTACATCGCAGTGGTTTGCACGGCAGGCCAGTTAGTGCGAAGTCGCGTGTTCGAGTTACAGCGCGAACACTAATTCCTTTTTTGCGATTTTCATCTCGGGAACGTTCCGCCGCGTGCCACTGTAAATGGGCCGGCCCACGCTAGCCGCTATTGTGCGAAGCGCCGGCATTTCGCCGCAGCGAGCGGCCTATAGGTGCTCCCGGTGCTTGGCTCCAGCCACTGGCGGAGCTTCAGCAAGGCTACATGGGCCATGGCCCGCCCAGCTTTGCACCACATCCTCCTATTATAGCCGGCCCATGGGCCGGGGAAAAACCAATTTCATGCAATTTCATGCAATTTAGCCTACCCAGTCCGTCCAGGAATTTGCTGCAAGCTCCGCCACTGGTTCCAGCCATGGCGGTGGCCAGGTGCCGCGTTGGCTAGCGGCTGATGGGTCACCGACAAGTGGGCCAGCGCCCATTTTAGCAGCAGATATGTGGACCACTGACCACCTCGGCCGACTAGTCTTTGCCATGTCAGCCCTTACACGTGGGTCTGACTAGTCAGATTCGATGTTAGTTGTGCTACCAATGTACTTTTCGTCGGTTAAGGGTGGTGTTCTTCTGAAGCGACTGCATGCCTTACTTGTGATGGTTTTGCGTCAATAAAGCACTAAAACAGTAATAACAATATTATCATTTGCTCGTGTTAAATGGGTTTTTGGGGTCCACAACATTTCATTTTCATCTTGCGTGGCACATGTGTGACATGATCGCTTAACATCCTTTGCGGCGGAACCATGTATTTCATTAATAGAAAATCAATGTTTTTGTGAGTAAGAAAAAATCAAGTTACATAAACACGTGAAAACTAAAAGCCTGATCAGGAAAAAAGTCGTTTGTCCTAAAATTTTTGCAGGTAAAACTATAAAAGATAAAAAATTACAAATATATCCCTAATGTTTTAAGAAACAAAGCTAAAGAGAGAATTAGGTGCAGCAATTAGAGCAGTGTATGCAAATATATGGGTATACACTATCATTCATGCAATATTTAAAAGTCAATTCAAAGGATTTTTTAACTAGAAAGAGTTTTTTGTTAATTTAAAATTTTGTCCATTAATATGTATTACAACTGCATGACAAGGAATATTGTAACTATTATTTATAAACATTGTCATGCAGCTAACTATGATGTCTAAGTAATAAAAAATTATACAAATTAAAATTTTAATATGGTATAATTAGTTTAAAAAAGTATAAAAGTTTGGTATAAAAAATAATTGGTTTACATAACAAAATGGTTTGAAACGACTATGAGTAAAACTGCTTCTAACAGCCAGCCAATGGCAAGATAGGTAAATAACTTGTACTTCATGCAATTTTGTAGCCCCAAATATCAGAAGAAGTTGTAGCATCAACATCAGCATAATTATGCTGCATCATACCCTCCCTTGTCCTCGTTCTTGTTATGGAGGTAGAAGAAGAAATTGACAATGAGCTGCACCATTGTGGTCACGGTGGCTGTAATGTTGGGCATTTACCACTAGCCACAAGCCACAAATTGAGAAATCACTTACGATATCCATGATCATTGCGATAATGAACATGGCCGTGCTGTAAGTGGTTGCGATGATGTCAAACACCTTTGGTATGCAAACCTTTGTGACCAACATAAACACAACCATCAGCAGGGCCAGTAACGCAAAAAATGCCACAACCACGACCAGCTGCTTCACGGTCCTTCGGCGCATGACGGCGCCGACAATACATAAGAACAAGGACATGCACGCGCCTGCATCACTATCCCGATGCCGTTAACCACTAGCACCGGCATCGAGCCGAGCATGGAGAGGGATGACAAAGACGATCTAGGCAGCGCATCCCAACATCATGGAAAAGAATTTGAGTGCTCCTTTCTGCTGTCGGTGCTAAATCTGAGGTGTCATAGATTACCTCGGTATTGAAAAAGTTTGAAGGATTTCAACCGAGCTTAATGACGGAAATGTTCTCTATGGAACTATTCATTCGCATCAGAGTTTTATGCCGGACTGCTTCCGAGGTGGTGCACCACCTCGATCTTCGAATGTTTTTTGCTAATTTTTTGATTTGTTCAATTCATTCTCTGCCTAGATGTATAGCTAGTAGCCCTCAAGGTGTGTACCGGTCTAAAGTCCGGCATGCACCTGAAGGATAGCATCAAACCGCTGATCCCAGTAGCCCATGAGACCTAGGTTGATTCGTGAAATAGGCCTGATAATCAAGTCCTTGCTCGATAGCATACTTTAGAAACGAAAATGTGGTGTGCAATAGCTTCCAAGACTCAGGTTGGGTGTTTCTTTCATTTCCTTTTTTGCCTTTTCTTTTCTTATTTATGTTTATGTTTTTCCTTTTTTAAATTAATTTAGGATTTCCAAAGATTCCAAATCTCATAAAGTTGTGAATTGAAGTTTTTTTTTTGAGAAATCATAAAATGTTCATTAATTCAAAAAATGGTAGGAAAATCATAAAATGTTCAAGATTTTTTAAAATTGTTTGCATATTATAAAAAAATCACGATTTAAAAAAATGTTCATAATTTTTAAAAAGTGACCGTGAATTCTAAATATATTTAGCAATTTTAAAATAATTTCAAATTTTAGAAAATATTCACATAATTTAAACAGATACGTAAATAACGAACAAAATGAACCGTCGCTTACATAGAGCTCTTTTAGGGGATATGTAGAGGCTGTTTTATGATTTTATTTAGTCCATCGCTCATCGGTTAAAAAAGGGTTTTTGTGTTCTATACAACGCTTGCCTTGGAAAAATTCACACAACTTTTATGGGTTATTTTTTGTAAGCTATATGAAAGTGACTAAATGTCTAATTTGCCTCCATACATACCTATGTTTATTCTTGTACTGTAGTTTTACTAGTCATGAAAAACACCGTGATGCTAGGCCGACGCGAGGCACATCGTTCATCAGTCTAGCTCAAGCAGGGTTCATCAATGCAGCTTGCTTAGCCATAAAATATTTCACTGTGGCGCCTTAGGAAATCAAGTTGTGATGAGACCATCACATTTTCAGTTTTTGACTTGTTAAAAGTCTCTTATCTCACTGTGAGATGATTCAGACGTAGTTTGTGAAATGACATTTTAAAATTCCTTATCTCAGCATAATTTGATTGTTTTCTCCCGTTGTGCAATGCACGAGCATATTTGCTATAATATCAAAAGGATGTTAAGGAATGTGGAGTTTCTACACCTAGTATCAAATACTCTTGGTATGAACGTAATATTATAAAAAAATAGAAAACATTTTGAGAAGCTAATTTCTTTTGTGGCATACTTTAAGAAATGTTTGTTGTGCATGCAAAATTTCATCATGAAATGATATTGGTGAAAGGCGTGGTACACAAAACAAAACCAATGCTCTGAAAATGTTACTTTCAAACGCATTTAGAGCACTGATTTTTTCTTTGGTGAAAGGCATAGTAAAAAATAAAATTTCTTAAAGTATGTTGCAAAAAAAATCAGTTTTTTTTTAATTTTTAATGTTCATATA